CTTAAATCATACTTACCAGACATTTCCCATCCCCATCTCTATCCCCACTTGCCCTGCCCCAAACCATTCCCGAATGCCATCACTCCTGGCTCTAACAACCATCAAATTAGTCTCTATACTCTGTCCAGTTCATTCTCCACAGTAATGACAAACCTTTCAACTATACACCAGCCAATCAACCAATATATACATCCCAAAAAAACGCTCACCTATAAATATGACAACAGTACTAATAAATGTGAATGCTACAAAACACTGATTTTCAAATGTAACAAAGTAATGATCACAATAATGGTTTCTATATGGGTAAGTATAAAAACTATTGCTATCATTAAAATATTAAGTTAATTTAAAAAATATTAGTGTGATCCATATAATCAAATATTTCTCCCTCTGCTTGAAAAACCTCATTCTAATACTTTACAACAGAGCAATCTAAAAGTTGGTCTCAAATCAATGCTTGGCTTTAATGGCTACCATAGCCAGAAAGAAATATGGGTCCAAAAAGGAAGAAGCACTGTGGCAGTACTTACTAAATCATGGCCATTTATTTTTCCAACCCCAACCATTATACAAACATTTTCCTTTAAATCTTGCTGGCAAATGTCCATCTTCCCTGATGCAATTACTCTTGAAAACTAATCAGAAGATGTTACATTTTTTATTCCTAACAAATGGATTTGCAATCCCACTAAAACTATTCACTTAAAGTATTTTCTTTTTTAACTTTTTACTATAGAAATGTTGAAACACACAAAAGTGCAAACTCTATAATAAACTCTTTTATACATATATCCAGCTTCGATAACTATTAATATATGGTAAATCATCTATAAATGACCAAACACAATGAATTATTTTTTAAGTTTATTTATCTTGAGAGAGAGAGAGAGAGAGAGAGAGAGAGAGAGAGAGAGAGCACGCACATGCATACAAGCAGGGGAGGGGCAGGGAGAGAGAGGGAGAGACAGAATCCCAAACAGGTTCCACCCTGTCAGTGCAGAGCCCTATGCAGGGCTCGATCCCACAAACTGTGAGATCATGACGCTCAACTGACTGAACCACCCAGGTGGCCCCACAATGAATTATTTTTTTTAACTTTTAAAAAATGTTTTTATTTATTTTTGAGAGAGACAGAGTGTGAGTGGGGGAGGAGCAGAGAGAGAAAGAGACACAGAATCCGAAGCAGGCTCCAGGCTCTGAGCTGTTGGTATAGAGCCCAATGTGGGGCTCGAACTCACAGAACTATGAGATCATGACCTGAGCCAAAGTGGGACACTGAACCGACTGGGCCATCCAGATGCCCCCACAATGAATTATTTTAAAACAAATTTGAGACATCGCATTATTTCATCCATAAATACTACAGTACTTATCTCTAAGAGATAACAGTCGGGGTTTTTTTTTTTTTGGTTTGTTTTGTTTTTTGAGGTAGGGAGGGGATAGAGAGAGAGAGGGAGGGAGAATCCCAAGCAGGCTCCACATCGTGGCTCAATCCCATGACTGAGATTATGACCTGAGCCTAAGCCAAGAGTTGGATGCTTATCTGACTCAGCCACCCAGGCACCCCAGGAGTCTTGCCTTTTAATATAACTCCAATACTATTATAATACTTTAAAAATAATTAAAATAATTTTTCAAAAATCATCGAATATACAGATGATATTCAAATTATTGCCAATGGTTTCATAAATATCTTTTTACAGCTGGTTTATATGAAACAGGATCTAAACAAGGCATACATATTACATTGAGTTAATGTCTCAAGTCTTTTCTAATCTGTAATAATTCTCCATTTTTTTTTTTGCATTATTTGAAGTAACTGGGTTCGTCTGTAGAATTTCTCACATTATGATTTTCTAATTACATTCTATAAACTTGTGTTAAATCTAGAAATTTAATAAGTCAGATTTGATCTTATTTTGTTTGGGGGAGAATATTTCATGAATGGTGTTATATTTTTCCTACTGTACAACACTGGAGGAACATAAGGTTTAGTTGTATCCATTTTGGAGATAACATAATTAATCATAAGACTGTCAGTCTGATCTATTATAAACTTTCCTAATGGTTTTAACAACCACTGATGATCAATGGCTAGGTCCTTTATTTCACTAGATCATCTGGACATTTTTTAGAAATACATTTGGAGATTTTTATCAGGTAACAAATTATGTTTCCAAGTTTTTCATGTGTAGAGTTATGAGAGTTTTTATAGGTGCAACAAAATAACAATGACATCATGAATCATCAGAGAAATGCAAATAAAAACCACAATGAGATACTACTTCACACCCACTAAGATAGCTTAATCAAGAATGCAGAGGGGGCACTTGGCTTGTTCAGTCAGTGAGCCCCCAACTCTTGATCTCGGGGTTGTGAATTCCAGCCCCACATTGGGTGTGGAGCCTACAAAAAAAAAAAAATAATACAGAACAACAAGTGTTGTTGAGGATATGGAGAAACCAGAACCCTGGTACACGGCTGCTAGAACTGTAAAATGGCACATCTGCTTTAGAAAACGGTTTTGGCAGCTCCTCTAAAAGTTAAAGAGTTATTACCATTTAACCCAGCAATTCCACTCCCAGGGCATATACTCAAGAGAAATTAAAACATATGTCTACGTAGAAACATGTTCACGACAGCATTATTCATTAATAGGCAAAAAGTGGAAACAATCCAAATGTTCACTAACTGATTAAGGGATAAACAAAATGTGGCGTATTCATATAATGGGACATTATATCACTCAGTTACAAAAAGCAATGAAGTACAATACATGCCCAACATGCAGGAACCCCAAGAACATTAACTAGGTAAAAGCCACACATTGTACGATTCCATTTATATGATATGTCCAGAACAGGCATATCCATAGACTCAGAAAGGTAACCTGACTGCCAGAGGCTAGGGGATGGGCTGAACGGGGAATGACACTAATAGGTGCATAATTTCTTCTTGGGATGATGAAAATGTTCTGGGAAAAAAAAAAAAAAGAAAATGTTCTGAAATTAGATGGCGGTGATGACTGTACAACTCCAAGAACTGTACATTTTAAAAGGGTGAATTTATGATATGTAAATTATATTTCAATAAAGCTTTTTTTTTTAATTACGAGGAAAAGACTACTCCAGAGCACATTTCTTTGTAAGAGAAGAAAAAGTGGTTACTTTTCATTCACTGTTAAGATAACACCTTTTTACTTGAAGAGACAGATTGAGGATATTAATTTTTCAAATAATATTTGCCAGGTAGCACACACAGAAAAAGTCAACAATTTTTTTTGTAAAAGAAAAATGCATAACATCAACTCTACAAGAGAGCCAACAAATGATAACCTGCCTCAATAGTCCATGAAGAGGCAGTGAATGAATTTCATCCTTTTATTCAGTCAAAGCAACTTTGTCGGTAGTTTACATTTAGACAATTATTCCACACAGCAGTGTCATTAAAGCAATCATTTACTATTATGTCTTCTCCAGTATAATCTTCCTCCAGTAGCTCACAAAAGATGTAATGGGGGGGGGGGGGTATTATTAAAAGAAAACCTAGCAAATACTAAGACATGATAGAAGCTTCTATACTTTTATAATTACATATAGTAAACCTCCCATACTGCAGAATTTGTCCTAATACTGTTCAAATCTTCAGCAACATTTTCTGTTCATCATACAAGAGTATTTGCTGAAAAAGGAATGCATTTTGGTTTCTTGACATATTGTTTTCCATACTTTTTTTTAAAGCAAGCCTTTTGGTGGGTAGGGCACAACAGGAAGAACCTGTCAATGGTGTGTGTCTTTTTGTCTTCCATAAGAACGAGAAACCTCAAAATATATACTTTAGTCACTAGGTTAATAAAATTGTGTAAAGCATCTCACTGAAAAGCTTATAACTTGAAACATCACTGGAAAAAGAAAAATGTAGAGTTTCTCTGTATGCTGTTTTCAGATGTCTTGGTACTAATGACAGGCTTATATTTCATTATTTCATATCTCAAGGTTCTACATACTCTTAAAACAAGATTCCCATCAATGACAGAGGATGTAAATCCATGTTTTAAATAGGCTTCTCTGTACTTTCCAATATACTAAGGGCTGACTTATTTAACCTGATTTAGTAGCTCACCAAGAGTTTGTAATAGCTGAACAAGGGTCAGCTATTTGTGCTTGCATTATTCGTATTTTCTTCAGTCCCTGGTTTCTTTGCAGAAATTGCTTTAAGTCACCTGTCCATTTTGTGAGGGTTAGTTTAATAAAAACTAACATAAACTGTTATCAATGATGCAATATACTGAAAGCAAATGTATGGTTATGGATCTGCTTGCTCACAGCAGAAGTCCCTTGAGGACACCCAAAGTTCTACAGTTAACACATTAACACTGACTTACAGACCCAAAAAGATGCCAGTGACAATACCTAAATTTAATGCTTTATCATAAAAATGATAAAAAGCTCTAATTTTCTTCCAGCATCACAGTGAATCATCCTACCTACCCCACTTTGAAAACTACCGCTCCAGATTGTAGCTACAGTGAACTTTTTACAACTGCAAATCTGATTAGTTCACTCCTCCTTATAATCCTATAATGGCTTAGCTCTGCCTTCAGGATAAAGTCCAACACCCTTGCATGTCATATAGGGCCCTTCAGCTCTGGCTCCTGCCTCTCTCTAGCCCAGGAGTTCTCAGCCCTGGCTGCATACTGGAATCACTTGGGGAGTTAAAAAAATATACATTCTCAGGTCGCACCCTAGACCAACTAAATCAAAATATCTGGGGGTGGGGTATTTGCATCCCTGATTTTTTAAGTTCCTCGGGTGAATCTAAAGTGCAGCCAGTGTGGAGAACTACCCCTCTTACTCACAAAGGCCTCAATTAGGCCTTGCTACTCTAAATGTGATCAAGCCACCCACAGCAGTATCTGCCTCACCAGGGAGCTGGTCAGTAATGCAGAATCCCAAGTCCCACCCTAGACCTACTGAATTAGGACTTGGCATTTTAACAAGGTCCCCCGATGGTTCATGTGAACATTCAAGTTAGAGAAGCAATGCCCTAAGTTACTAAACCCCTTCTCAGCTCAGGGCCTTTGTAAATTTTTAGGTACTGTCTAACACTGAATTTCTCTGGCATTAGCTCACAAATGTTAAAGGTCATACATCACATCCATGTTACTCTAGGATATCCCCAGTTCCTGGCACAATGTCTAGTATTCTCAGTTAAACAGCATCGTCTTATGTTTCATACCTAAATTTCCACATTATTTCTGACCTATTAACCATGTATTTCCTTAAAAACAAGTTGCCTTTAGGGGTGCCTGGGTGGCTCAGTCGGTTGAGCGTCTAACTTCAACTCAGGTCATGGTATCACGATTCGTGGGTTTAGGCCCCACATCAGGCTCGCCGCTGTCAGCATGGAGCCCCGTTCAGATCCTCTGTCCCCATTTCTCTCTGCCCCTCCTCTGCTCATGTTCTCTCTCTCAAAAATAAACAAACACTGGGTGAAAAAAAAAGTTCTTTAAATACATAACTCTTGGATAGGATACATAACATAGCACTGTACTTACTTCAAAATCTAAATGAGCTACTGGTCTCTTTCCACAGAAATGTAAATTAAACCTAATTCAAAGTGCCATTACGTTTTGGTTAAATTAATAAAATCAAATATTAGGTTTTGTTTGTAATACCATTGACTGGATTGTCAGGAAAAAGGGCCACATAAATTGCTGATAATGTTATAATGTAGTTCAACCTTTCCAGATAGCAATTTGGCACTGGAACCATAACCTGACTCAGTGAGCCCATCTTAGGAGCAAGAGTCCAAGAAAATAATCCAAAGGAAGTATTTGAAGAAAGGTGCTGAAAAGTACCCTTTATGGGGCACCTGGCTGGCCTAATCAGCAGAGGATACGAGTCTTGATCTTGGGACTGTGAGTTTGAGCCCCATGATGGGTGTAGAGATCACTTAAAAATAAAATCTTAACCAAAAAAAAATCTTAACCAAAATCATCTATAATAGTAAAAAGAATTAAATTACCGTTATCAATGCATAGAATACTATTCTGTGATTTAAATCAGATACATAAATGAGGGGCGCCTGGGTAGCTCAGTCAGTTGAGCAACTGACGATTTCGGCTCAGGTCATGATCTCACAGTTAGGGAGACAGAGCCCCGTGTCAGGCTCTGAGCTGAGCGTGGAGCCTGCTTAAGATTCTCTCTCTCTTCCTCTCCCTGCTCGTGCTCTCTCTCTCTCTAAAATAAAAAAAAAATTAATTAAAATTTAAAAATATTTATATATAAATTAGATACATAAATGAGTATAAAATATTTGATGCTCTTCAAAAATACAAAAATCATACTCCATGTATACAGACTTTAAAAAAGCTATGCCTGTATACTGACACAAATAGATGTGAATTTAAATGTACAAGAGCCTGCTTGGCTTAGTCGGTAGAGCATGCAACTTTCGATCTCAAGGGCTGAGTTTAAGCCTCACATTGGGTGTGGAGCCTACTTAAAAATAAACAAAGAAATAAATAAAGTAAATATAGTTTGGGTGGGGGGATGGGTTAAATAGGCGACGAGGATTAAGGAGTGCACTTGTGATCAGCACCAAGTGATGTATGGAGTTGGTGAATCAATATATTGTACACGTCCCATGATCTCATGGTTCTTGGGTTCGAGCCCTATGTCGGGCTCTGTGCTGACAGCTCAGAGCCTGGAGTCTGCTTCAGATCCCTGTCTCTCTGTTCCTCCCCTGCTCACACTCGGTCTCTCTCTCTCTCTCTCAAAAATAAATAAAAGATTAAAAAGAATTATAAATGTATGTATATTTTGCACACCTGAAACTAATATAACACTGTATGTTAACTGGAATTAAGGTAAAAATTTAAAAAAATAAAACAAATACAATTTTACATTTAAAATTTTACTATTTAATAAATTCTCTTTTCTATAGAGAGTATATATACATAATTTTGGTAAACTCTATACCCAACATGGGGCTTGAACATCTCGGGCTTGAACCCTAAGAACAAGTGTCACATGCTCTAATGACTGAGCCAGACATCCTTATGGAGAATATATTAAAACAAATTTTAATGTTGGGTTATTTATGGGTTTGCTGTTCAATTTTATTAAGTTTGTGTTATATAGTGCTATTTTTGTTGTACTCAGTCTCACTAAAAACATATTTCTTCAGCTTTGGTATTTGGGAACATTTATTAGTTATTGCATTGGAAGTAAAAAGACAAGATTCTGTATTTGGCCAGCTTCCTGCTTATAACTCAAATTCAAACTTCACCTGCATCCCATTTTTTCCACATGAAGGTGGAGAAAAATAATACAACAATGTTTACAAATCAATTCTGAGTGCCTCCAGTGAAAGGTGCTGGACCAATACAAATATCAGAACTGCTTAAAAAACAACCACCACCCATGCTGACAAATCACACAAGGCACTTATCCTTCTGAGCCTCAATGTCTCCCTCCATAAACCAAAAGAAATCAGTTAGAATCACATGGCGGGGGGGGGGGGGGTAGTAGGTGAAGGAAAAGTAGGCTTATGATATATGAAAAAGCATCGCATACACACGCTGATCAAGATCCACTGAGTCCCATTCACATTTTGGGAGGAGAATGACTGAGTTAGTACAACCCCCTTGAAGAGGTGGCGATTTGGCTATACGTCTGAAAATTTTAAATGCACATATATTCTTTGACCCAGTAATTCCACTTCTAGAAATACATGGTTCAGATCATTTTACACATAAGTTCCTAACAATGTACTATCTACAAAAACATTCATTGTAACACTGTAATAGAAAAACCTGGAAACTTAAATGTTGCTTAACACAAAGACTAGTTACAAACTATGCTGCAGCCATACAATGAAAAAACTTTAAAATGTCAACAGAAAGAATGAACAGCTTTATATCTACAAATATGGAATGATTTTCTAAATGTGCTAAGGAACAAGGAAAAAGGAAAAAGGTGTGACTGGTATGTACCACGGGCGGAGGAACATGGACAGGTAGACATGTGTTTCTAAAGCAACAGTGTCTATGTAAGGCCACAGAAACTGGAAACTTCAGCCATCTCTGGAGGAAGCAGGGTAGGAGGGAGACTTATTTTCTTCTCTCTTCCTTTTTATACTGCTGGAGTTTTTTTCTCAGATGTATCGATCTTTTCCCAAAACTGAGGATTCTCTGTAGGCCTCCTCCCTCTGAGTCTAAGAGGCTATCATTCTGCCCCAGTAGGGCTTGGTCATTGCCTCCTAAATTGCAGGGGCATCAGCATCTGGCCTCACACTGCCCCGAAGCGATCTTTTAAAGCCCAGTCAGCGCAGGTCCCTGACGGTCTTTAAAATCCCCCAGTGGCTCTCCACTGCCCAAACTTGAAAACCGCACAAACAGCCCTGCAAGCTCACCGTAATCTCATCTCCCACCCTTCTCCCCTCTACCCAACCCAGTTGTTTAACCTCTCCCTGCTCCCCAAGGATAGTGGATTCCTTCCACCTCCAAGCCCTCCTTCTTTCCTACGCGCTGCTCTTTCTTTCCTACATCCTGTCTACAACACACAAACTCATATGCACCCTTCATGACCCAAACACCCCTCCCAGGAAAGCTTTCTTGGACCTCTCAGGGAAGGAATGCTGTCTATGCAGCGTGGCAGATGCTCTGGAACTAGACTGCCAAGATTCAAATCCTGACTCTTCCTCCATCTGCCCACTATACGGCCTCAGTTTCCACCCTTGTCAAACAGGAATAAGCCCCTACTTGGCTGTTGAAAGATTAAGTCACTCATAGAATGAATTTATTACAAAGTGTCTCACAAGGCAAATAAAATAGCTATTATTATTATTATTATTATCACATTGTCATAGCACTTAGGATGTATTTGTATTCACCTTACCTGTACTATGAGCCCCCAAAAGGTAAAGATTTTACTCCCTTGCTTTTATTTTGCATCCCAAGCACTTCACGTGGCAAACAGAAGGCACATGAATGCCTTTACTTAAATCAGAAGATTGGCTTTTCTGGTTCTGAATTTCATCCAGATGGTAAATAACTTGCTAAAAGGTACCCAGTGAACAGCCTCCTGGATCCCACACGCCCTAGAACGCACATCTGAGCCAGACCACTTGAGGCCAGCAGAGGTGAAAGAAGACCAGGGGGCTTTGAGGCTTTCAAGAGACAGGCAGATTGGAGACCAGGAAGACGTGAGACCTGCCGGTTCCTGCTGACTGACTACTTACGGGGACTGGATGAAATGGACATGGGGAGACAGGCAACCAGGATCCTGAGAGTCCCGGGAGTGCCAGGGACTCCACGCAGGCAGGCCTTCAGGAAACACCCGGGAGAAGATGCTCTCAGGCAGTGGGGGTCTGGGAGTACACAGAGACAAGACACCCAAGGGGGAAGAGACGGGATGGGACCCACAGGACAACGGAGAGGAAGAATCCTCCTGGCACGGCAGATGGAAAAAGGAACACAAGACACAGCTCCTGGCCTCCGGAGGCTTCCCAAAGGAGAAGATCTTTAAAGAAAGAGGTAGAGCCTGGCAGGTAAAGGCGGGGCGGGAAGAGGCTCGCACGAGCAAGGGCGTGCAAAGGCGTGAAGAGGCAGTCCAGCAGGGGTGAGGGCTGAATGGCTAGGGGTGAGGGAAGCTGGGAGTACATATGAATGGCCAGCCTGTCCAGAGGCTCGCATGACCTGATGGGACATTCTGGGCTTCATTCATCCCGTGGGAAAAGGAGAGCGAGGAGTTTTTAAGTAAACAAGTGACAGCATCAGATCTGTGTTTTCTGAAGGAGTGGCCAGGCAGGAGGATGTTCGCCCATCTTCCACCCTCGCTCGGTTCTCTCCTCGCCCACCATCTTCTGGTTCTGGGGCTGCCGTCACAGCAAGCAGGCGGCCGGCGAAGACGCCTCCTGGGAGAGGTGACTGGTCCTGGAGCACGAATCCCTACCCCGGGAACAGGTTTCTGAAGGCATTTGCCCCTGCCTACGGAGGCTCTGAGCATTCCTCCTCTCGGTCCTACAAACATCATCCCTGATCGAAAACACAAGCAAACAACCCACCCTCGGCTCTGCCATTGTCATTTGTATCTTCAGGACGTACAATTAGGAACCAATTCTCCGAAAACCAAGGTTGCTTCTATTTACCAAAAGTAAAAAGGAAGGGGATCTGCGTTCCCAATCGGCTCATTTTGAATTCTGGGCAGCTCTGAGCCTCTATTTCCCTTCTTTAAGCAGCCTCAACAGTTGGGAGTGGGCGGAAAAGAGGGGGGCCTGGGACAGGGGCCAGGGGGGTTTAAGGGAAAGAAAAGTTGGTCTCCGCAAGAGCAAATTTTCTCATGCCAGGAGCTCTCCTCTTTCTCCC